TTCACTTTCCGGGGAATTTAACTTCTAACTGGCGCGTTTCGTGTCTGAGGATAAGCGGCGTTTAAGACCCGCTGCGATACCGGCGGGGAATCGAGCCCTCGGTTAGACCAGGTCGCTCCCCCGCCGCCTTCCGAGAATTGGCTGCCTCAGCTGCCCTTTGCGCACCTCTCGGATGTACGCTTGGGCACAAGTTTATATCGTATATATTTCTATCCCTCTATGCATATATGTACATAGAAAATCCAGCCACCGGCTTTGCGGCCTACTGTTTCTCTGGGGCGCTATTCACCAAAGGCCCGTAAAGGCCGTTTGGGTACGCCTGTTCCTTGTGCACGCCGGCCGCAGCGGCGGCAGCCGCGGCCGCCGCCGCTGCGGCTGATCTGTCCCGCATGAGGTCGCTGAAGGCGTACTCCATAGGCGGCCGGAAGCCCAGCGTGGGCATTAGCCCCGCCGTGGAGTAAGGGGTCATAAAGGCCAGGCCGCGACTGTGCGCCGCTGCGGCCGAGTAAGCCAGGCGCAGCGGGCTCAAACTCAAGTGCGTGCCTAAGGGATAGGCGCCGGCCTCAGCCGCCGCCCCGAAATGGGTAGCGTTGGGCTGCAAAGGCGAGAAGGCGGAGCGGCTGCCCAGCGCGCCGATGGCCGGGGTCATGGCGCCGGCCAAAAGAGGGCGGTGATGCGAAGCGCCTCCAGCCGATGAAGGCTGCAGGCCACCCAAGGTCCCCGGCGCGTCTCCAGCAGCCCGCGCCCAGCTCTCGTCGCCCGCCTTGTCCGACCCTACCGAGCTGAGTCCAGAGGCGGCGGAAAGTGCTTGGCCTGGGCCGTCGCCTGCTGCCCGGTGGTGATGATGGTGGTTGTTAAGGATCTGCTCGATAGCCTGCACCACGTCGCCGCCGCAGCCGGCCAGGACCAGCTCCAGCACGCTGCGTTTGTGCGCGGGAAAGACGCGCGTCAGGATGTCCAACGGCGTCCGCTGCTGCCGGCTGCTCCCCGCCACGGCGGCCGCGGCAGCAACGGCCAAACCAGGCGAGGGAGCGCCTGCTTCGTCCCGTTCTGCCTCAGAGCAACCCGAGTCGGAGCCCAGTGGACTGATGGAGCCTGTGCTCTCCTCCTCGGCTCCGCCGCCCCCGCTGCCGTCTTTGGCGCCTTTGGAGACCGGCGAGCTGACGGAGGACTCGCCGTCGCCATTCTCGGAGCCCGAGCCACAGCCGTGACGAGTCGGCTCCGGGGATGAGGTGCCTGGCGCGCCGTCCGTCCCATCCGGCGATAAAGGCTTGTTCTGTTGAGGGGTCACGGAGCGGCTGGTGAGAAGCGACTTGGGGAACAAGTCAAATTTCTGCAGCTTGACTTCTGGCAAGAGAGACAGAAAGAGCGAGCTGGGCTAGGCTCTCCCTGCCAGCGTGCCCCGCCTCCGCCCCCCAAGTGCCGGATGGGGGCCTGTTAGGTACTTTACCTCGACAGAAATGGGAAAGCGAGTGCACTGAAGCTGGGCTCTTTTCGGCAGTTTAGAGCCGAACCAAGGTTTAGAGCAACCAAGGAGCTTAATTCAGCGACCACTCGTCTTTCTGTCCCACAGGGAACCCACCCCATGGATCTTGCACTCCTCTACCCTAGGCTGATTTCATCCACTCTTCTGTCCATCCCCACTTTCCGCTGTCTTTGGTGACTTCAGGTTGCTCTCCCAATCTGCCCTCCACGCCATGCCTTGCCGTCTTCTCTTTCTTCCCCTCCCCAGATGGCACCTGCCGGGGGACCTCGCCTCACCTTGGCGACCTTCCTAAGGAGCTACTTTAGGGTACAAAATCAAATCTCGCCACTGCAGCTAACTAGGGCGTCTCCTGGCAGGGCTAAATTGCTGTGGTCGCTAGGAGGCGCTCTCTTCTCTCTCCTCTCCCGCCTCTCTGGCTTGGGACGGCCAAGGAGACCCCCCCCCCCCCCCCCCCCAAAAAAAAACCTGCAAGAAAAAGGTTCCCCGACCTGGTCCCTTTAGATGCACGGGAACACAACTCCTATCATAACTTCTAGTAGCATCGCTGAGGAAAACTTCAGGAAGGCAGCCCCAGGTTGGGGCAGGCTCAGTTCGATGCCAGCTGTGACAGGCCTCTATATTTTCAAGGGGCAGTTTACTACGTAGCCATGCTAACTTACCTGGAAGTGAATCGAATGGCGTCAAACAATTACAGGGACACTAAGTGGACCCCAAATGGGTGTGGAAGACTTTATGAATATGGGGGAAAGAGGAAGGGAGCAAGAAAGAGAAGAGATTGCTAAGAAAAAGCAACGGTGTGATCCCTGACTGCGTTTGACAAGGCAAACACAAGTGGGACTATAATCTAGAAATGCCTGGCCGATGTTTCTTTGTTAAAGGCAACGACTAGGATTCTTTTTTTTTTTTTAGTAACTCCGTCAGCGACCTGGGAACTCCTTATCTTACAGATCGTGAAGAAATCCTGAACGGCTGCAAAAACGCTGAGATTTGAGGTCTACAAATCGTGTTAAAAGGACGAGCTGTTGATGGTTGCGGGGAAGGGAAACGAACTGAGCGTGGGACGGAGAGAGCGCGGGAAAAAAGTCCAAGAAAGAGGAGAAGGAGCAAAAGGTGGAAGGTGGGAAAGTGGACAGAAGCATCCGGGCAGAAGGGCTCGTTTTTTAAGGGTGCCCAAGGCTGCCTAAGGAAAGATTGGGAAGCTCAGCCCCGGGCCTTTTCCTCCTCGGCGGCCGCCAGTCCCATTCTAAACTTCGTGTAGAATTCCTGAGGCCGAAGGGCTTTAAACGGGGCCCGGGAACCCAAAAGCTGACTTTCTCAGAACTTGCACAGGACTCCCTGTCGCCTGTTACGTTTACTTAGGGGGAGGGTTCGAATCCCGGGGCGACGGGGAAACGGGCGCCTTTTAGCTCGTCGCCAAGGCCTCAGGGTTGGGGTGCGCGCTAGCTCCTCACCTGAACCCCCCGAGCCTCCATCGGCGCTGCACACGGAGCCGAAGACTTCATAGGCGGGCCGCGGCGGGATGATGCCGTTGGCCGCGGCCAGGGCCAGCCCCTCGGCCGTGCCATAGAGCAGCTGCAGCTCGCGGGCCTCGTTCTCCTCCTGAGCCTGTTGCCGCCGCAGCGCCACCTGGGCGGCCATGACGCGTTGCCGCTCGGCGATCAGCGTGCACTTGGCGCACAGGCAGTCCTTCCAGCGGCAGTAGCGCTTGTGGCCCTTGAGCGCCGACACCACGCCGTGGTTGCGGCAGCGAGCGCACTTGGGGGTGCGCGGATACTTCTCGGCAGCTCGCAGGAGCAACGGCGGGCCTCGCAGAAGGCTCCCGGCTACGCTCACCGGCAGGCTGGCCGCCGCCGCCGCCGCCGCCGCTGCCGCCACCGAACTGGGGGGCACCGCAGAGGGCGCCGTGGGTACGCTGGTCATCTCAGACCTCAGTTCCATCTTGACCAAGAAGGGGTGCCGTGGCTTCCAGGGAAGGCGCAAAGGCGCAGGGCCCTCTCCCCACCGATGCTCCTCTAATACCTCAACAAGACTTCCGCGGGTTCAACGGGGCGAGGGAAACGCCAGGCCCTTCCTGGAACAACCCGCCGCTCCGCGAGAGGCTAACTGGTTGCTCAGCTTGTCTAATAGCCTGAGTCCCTCCAAGCCACTCTGTAGCCGGTAAAATTACAAAAATCGAGAACTTTTTTTCCTCCAAAAAGTCTGATGCGTCTCAGTCCTTCCTCCGCAATCACCCCGCTCCCCACTCTAGAGCGCATCTGCGTTACCTAACTTCGGGGAAGTAAACGGCGTTTACTCTTCGAGGAAGCAAACAAACAACGGCCCCCGACCTTCTTGGTTGCTCTGGCTCAATCCCCCACAGAATGAACGTGGATCCTAGGGTAGCGGAAGTCGGGGCTTCCTTGCTCCCCCCGAATCAAAGCCCCCAAGCTCCGAAACCACCGAAATGGCTCCCCAGCCATTCCATCTCTTCCCAACAACGCGGCGAAGCAGAACTCGCCCCGGCTCACTCCCGCTGAGTTCTTCTCTGGCAAGAATTTACGGCGGAACCCGACGGCAACCGCTCCTGCCACGATCCGAGGAAAGGCGAACAGCTGCGCTCCTTCGCCTGCCAATGTTACAAAACGCTGTCCTGACAGAAGCGCGCACAAGCCCCTGGAGACGCAGCGGTCCCAGTGCCTGTCCAAGATTACAGCTTGTCACAATCGCACGCAAGCCAAGCTAACCGTGGCAGAAGACAGAGGATTCCTCTGACCCCCGCCAGGTTTCAGACTTCAGAGTGCAACAATTTCCAACTTCCTGATTCGCGCCCGCGCTCCTGTCTCAGCCGCCCTCTAATTTTTCTCAGCCTCCTCTGCCTCTCCCTTCCTCCAGCTACAGCCCCGCCAACCAAAGCCGCCTTCAACAGGCAGCCGAACCCAGTCCGGACCCCCCTTTCCTCAGCCCCAACTTTGCATGTGCGCCACTAAAGAGAGCGAGAGTTGCCAAGAGATAGAAATCTTCGCCGAACCGCCCGCGAGCGCTTGCTCTATTGTTGCGCCTTACGTATCCATTAGACAACATTTGACAACAATGTGGCGCCTGCCATTGGCCGAAAGGGGAAAGAGCTTTTCTGATTGGCCACTCGGATGTCTACAGTGTCCACCCGAAGCTTCTTTCAAATAAACAGTTTTAAGGGGAGGGGGCGCTAAAAAGGGTCCAAAGGGGGAGGGGAAGATTCAAGGGGGAAAAAAACCCCACAGCAAATAGTTTTCATTTCTCCCCCTTCTTCTTTTTCTTCTTCTTCTTCTTCTCTCTCTCTCTTTCTCTCTCTCACTCTCTGTCCCAAATTTTCTGTTACCTTGTTTTCCGGGCATTTATAAAATCCATTGAAAACTGTAGTTGCTCTGCCGATTGATGGTGCTCTTTGAACCTCACATTTTCCTGAGGTATCACTTGTCAAGATCAGATAGAAAAGTTGCCATTAATAAGATAGCCGTCCTGATGGTTTCGTTTTAGAGCACAGACTAGTTTTTCCTTTTCTCTTACACCTTCTACATCTTCAGGTTCAGCGGCTGCCCTCAAAGGGAATACCGGTGAGGTACTGTATTACATTTTATATTTGGGAAAGAAAAGGGGAGGCTCACTGACGGAGTTACTTATTACATACTTTCTTCTCTTTTTTTCTCTCAGATTCAATTATTAATTGTTTGTTTAACTAAAAGTCAATCAAGACTGTTTCGGGCTTTCCTGTAGGACAATTAAAACAGGGAATCGATCCGTGAGCAATTATGCACGCTGCCACTGGATTCATTCGCTTTTTAAACAATATATTGTTTTTGTTGTCGACTATCATTTGCTTGACATGCAGTGCCTGACGTCACACTCCTTGGGACTTGCTTGTTTCGAAGAAGTCACCCAGATCAGCGGCCAGTCCATTTGGAGCAAGTAAGGCAACCGGTTTCCAAGTTAATATAGCCCGAGAAAATGGGCTGGGCAGCTTTTCTCCCCGAGAGAAGACAGTTTCGAAATGTTGGTAATTAAGTGTGTTAATGCAGGGGTTTTTTTCCTCCTTTCTACGCCGGCGAATAAAATGCCTTTCCTGTCCCCCAAGGGGAAAAATGGTCAACAAAACCTATACGTATGTCTTACGTGTATTTCCAAAAAAATTGTAAGGTTGGCAAAGCAATCCCTACTTGGCGTACTTGGGAAATCTTTTACATATTAACCATCCCCGGAGTAGGAAAAGTGGCAGCCTATCTTTCCAGAGGAAAGCTCCTGGCATAGGAGGTTTTCTTTTCTTTGCAACGGTTACTTTGTTCTTACACGTGTGTTCAAGGGAGCAAAATCTCGCTCCTCAAATTTTGTTAGAAGTCACCGAGATTTAGTTAAATTAATGTCTTAATTCATGGTTAAAAGTCCCTTCCCAGAAAGGTGGAAGCGTTAGAGCTGAACACCCCTTTCCACAGCGGAGGGAAGCATAGCGCCGTGGATATGGCCAAGAACTTGCCTGGAGCCCTGGGGCAAGGGCGGGGGAGCCTTTCAATGGCAAGATAGGTTTCTCCGCAGTTGGCCTACTGAGGAGGCATGTCCCCCTTTTTGCCTCCTTTGGAGGAATTTACTTGGCCGGAATAATGCGTGTCCCTCTCCCGCTTGGCTTCCCTTCTCAAGTGGGGGGTGGGTCGCATTATTTCGGAATCCCCCTCCCTTATTTTTTAATTGTCACCAAGGAGCCAGAATGAAGCTGGCCAACACAGGAGTCCCGCTCTTTGCACAGGAGGCTGTTAAGTCAGGGAAACTATACCCTGGCCATTGGAAGCAGAGAAAATTTAAAAACAGAAAGAAGCAGCCTGAGGTTTAACAAACCAACGTCTCAATAGTAGATCTAGTGATCAGTTGGTTTCCTTCCCCACCCGAAACAGTTGAGAGAGTTTTAGAAGAAGGATCTCCTATAAAGACAAATCAGCGAATCTCTGAAATGAGCATCTTGCTCGGATTCTAGTTTCCAGGTGATTCGTTCTTTTGCTTTCTACTGAACTTTAGAGACAGGAAATGTGATCTGATTTTATTTTAAACCTGAAGGGCTTTTGAGAAGGAAGAACTCAGGTATGTACTTGGGGACAACATTTGAATAGCTCTGTTGAGAGAAAGAGAGAAAGAGACAGAGAAAGATGACTGCATTGAAGGTAACCAAAACTTGCCTAGACTTTTCCCTATACGTGATACCTAAAACAAAAACAAGGAATAAAAATAGACCTAAAATTGCATGGAATAAAAATGCCGATTGTTTCCTAGCCCACAAGAAGAAATATTCACAATGAACAGTGTCATTTTGCAACATGAATAGATATGATACAATTAAGTACAGTTCGTGATTTTTAAAAAGGGATATCAAAAAGACCCAGACTGTTACTTATCTTCACCTGCCCAATAGCAAAGCTTCCACCAATAGGAAGAATTGTGCCGGTGACCAGGCTCTTTGCAGAAATAACTGGGCCTAATCTTGTCTTGTTTGGGTGTAAGAAACTTCCTGATTTAACTCTAAATAATTTCATAAAGGGGTGTGACACTATATATCGACATTTATTTGAACTCCTTATTTCATGCCTTTCTCCGTTTATAAAAAAATGAGGCCAGCACAAATTTCAGTCTTTTAAATCCCAAATCCTATAATTATCTAGTTGGATGACAAGATAAGTCACTACTACTATAATTAACCATTTGCATGTCATATATACACAGCATGAATTTTGCCTATCTGTATAGACAGCTCAGGTTAAGAATTAATTGGCTGCTTAAGTCTTAAATTAATGAAAAAATAAGGGATGTTACATCTTTCTAATCAGTGTCCAGATGCTGAACAATCTGGTAAACAGATTTTTCTATGTACCCTTGCTTTGAAGGAAGGAAGGAAGGAAGGAAGGAAGGAAGGAAGGAAGGAAGGAAGGGATAATCTTCTTAGCCCAAAGTGAGTAATTTAAAATCTAGGGCCGAATTTTAGCATGTTTATTTTAAAAGTGCTATTTGGGGCTTTATAACATCACAACAGTGGCTGGGCCATGTTGGACATCTCTCCCTGTGGAATTAACTAAGAAAAGAGTCCACCCCATTCATTAAGGCAACGTATTAAAATCAAGATTCGCTTCTTAACAAACATTTTGGAACTCGGAGCAGATTGGGGAAGACATATATCACACACACACACACACACACACACACACACACACATATCTAGGTGAAACTCCTGAACTGCTGGCTCCCGCCTGCGCGCCTCTTCCTTGCGCGAGGGGCCTGACTCCGCTGGACCTGCTTTTTCGTTTCTCCAAAAAAAAAAAAAAAAGAAATCGATGAACATCAAGGAGGGAACCTCCTTCTCCACTCCTCCTTCGCTCCAACCCCCCCACCGCCGCCCCCATTCCGTTTCTCGGGCTGAGCCCTTTCCCGCGGCGACGGCAGCTAACCGAGACACCAGCTAAGCGAGCCTTTGCTCCTCTGGTCTTCTAATGGCCTTTCAGGGAGCCTCAAAGGTCGCCGCTTCGCTTCTTAATCGGACTCTCCGGCAGGAAAACGCCGGCAGCTCCGCCTCCGGTCCCCTCGAGGCCACAGGCTCGTGGAGAGACCCGCCAAGGCTCCCAAACCAGCCAGCCCTTCCCGCCCCTGCAAGAGGCTTTCCGCTCGCGGCTTTCCCGCGCAGCCAAAAGAGCCCCCCCGCCCCATCCTCCGCGGCCGCCCTCGATCCCCCAAACGGGGATTCCCTGCCTGGATATTCAAGGCAGGTCCTTCGGGAGGTTCGAGGAGCGGGCCCGGGGGCCCTCGGAGGCTCCGTTTGGTTTCTTGGCACGCATTTTCCCCCTTCCGATGGTTTTTTTTGTTTTTGTGTTGTTGCTTTGATTTTTCCAAGGAAACACGCGTCTCCCTCTGCTCTTGTAAATGCTTCGGATACTCGGGTTCCTTCCCTAAGTGGCGCCCCTGAGTACCCGCTCCCCCACTCCCCCACTCTCCCTCAACTGTCCAGATTCCACGGAGTGCCCGGCTTCAGAGTAACGGTGCCGTTGCAGGCTGAAATCGGGATCCCTTTGCCCGCAGACTTCTTGGGACTGGCGCTTTAGGGCGCCCCGTCTTTTTAACCCAGTCCGCAAATAGTGTGAGTGTGTGGGTGTTGGTGTGGGGGGGGGGTTTGGTTCTCGGGTGCTTGGTTTGTCCCTGAGAAGCCTTCCTGGAACTGGAGCCCTGTTGGGTTCGGCGTCGTTTCCTGCGTCTTTTTCAGGACTTTCTCCGCTAAGAAGCTTCAGACTACGCTCCAAATTCGTCTGCACTTATTTTCAGAATCGATTCCAGTCTGGCTCATACAATCTGGGATTCGCGACTGTTTCATGTCTCCCTGTTCCTTGTCTTTAAGGAACAGGGAGCCATGAAACTTAGACAAAAACAGACACTACTCAACCCCCTTGGACCAGGCCCGTTGCTAATTTAGAGGCTGCATTTTGCAAGGAACCGAACTTCGCCAGGTTTCGGTCTTGGTTGGTGGCTTTGCTTCCCTCCACCCCACCCTCCTCCCCTTTCTCTACAAAGGACTTAGAGGTTGTACTAATGCAAGCCGTTTGGTTAATGTACAGTTCGATGAGTCGTGAGAAAACCCATCAAATGTGGATCCTGGCTAATTCAATAACGGAGTTAAATATGTGAGACTCTAGCTTTTATTTCGGGCTGAACTCCCCCCCTACTGAGGGTCTGAAGAATGACAGAGCCAGGCCAAATATCATCTGGAGAGCTCCGAGAGAGCTTTAGGACGCATAACCCGTGCCCTACGTCGGGAGGCGACTCTGTCGAGGCTTCCCAACCTCGAAGCTCCGAGAGCTCACCTTCAGGCTGAGCACGTTCGCTCGCTCGCTCTTCGCGGGTGTGTGTGTGTGTGTGTGTCCTGCAGGAAGGAGACCCAGCGGAGAGCAACAGTAGCTGAGTTGGACTTGCAGGGGGGGCAGGATAGAGATGACACCTTCGCTCTTTCGTTTACCCCCCCCCCTCCCCTGCCCCCATGCTCCAAACTGGACTCCCCCGCTGCCTTCGAGCCAGAAGGATCATCGGGGTGATATTTCAACCTGTGCACGAAAGGAGCACTGGCAGGAGAGGACGTGTGGACAGTGACAGGCAACCCTGGCGGGAAATGGGTACCTTTTTCTCCAATGGAGGGAGCCAAGTCCGCCCGGCGGAGGCGGGGAGTAAGGCTCGCAGAGGAAAACAGAAGCATTCAACACAACCAACCCTAATCCCGACCCCGACCCTTCACTCTGCAGCTTCCCAGAATTACAGGCAACCCTGCAGCGGACGGATTGAAGGAGCCGGAAAAATTAACTAGGAAAAAAAAAAAAAAGCAGGCAACTCTCCATCACCCACCCAGCCCAAGTCCCAGGGGTCTTAAAATGACTTTTCTCTCTTCCCAATAGCAGAACACGAGTTGAATCCATGCTGGATTAATAGGACTATTAATTCTTATTAATAGTCGGCATAAAAATTATTGGCACGATTTTTTTTTATGATTGGCTTTATATTTTCTACTCACTGCCTTCAGCCTCCGAAATGTTGCTGTAATCGCCAAGCAGTCAAGAGCTTTGTGAATATATGGTTTCTTTCGTTTAAACAATACAAGTAATTAATTATGAGCAGACATAACGAGCAGAATTATGAGTATTCAGCAGACACATTTGTACACTTCTTATGTGATTTTTTTTCGTACTTTCGAATATTACATGCAGTTGGAAACAATTTTACTTTGAACAAAGTCTGGCCCACTGGACTTTAAGCACAAGTGACGGGACTAAGAGCTATATTCA